TTTCGTCATGGGCAATTACCATGATCCAGGCCTCTTGCAGGCCGGCGACAAATCGCATTTATGATTCCACTTGGGAAAAATTTTGCCATTGGTGCAGCAGGTGGCAACTAGACATTCACGATTTGACAATCCTTCAGATCGTAGACTACCTTCTCGACGGTCTGGACAGAGGCCTACCTCCTGCGGCCCTATTGACGTTGCCCACTTGTGCCAATTCCATCCCTCTGTCTCACCATCCCAGGATATGCGCCTTCATCAAGGGCGCATGCAACACTAGGCTTCCCGTGGTTCACAGCTATCCCTCTTGGGAGTTATCTCATGTACTTCACGCTCTCACTAAACCACCCTTTGAGCCCATCACTACTATACCATTACGGGCCTTATCTCACAAAGTCGCCTTCCTGATCGCTATCAAGTCAGCCAGACACATTTCCGAACTGGCTGCTCTTTCGATCGGGGCAATCTTTGTATCTTCCACCGGGACCGGGTGGTCCTTCGGTTGGATCCCGCATTCGTGCCCAAGGTCAACTCACTCTTCCATAGATCACAGGAAGCCATTTTGCCTAATTTCTGTCCCAATCCTTCCCATGATTTGGAGCGGCAGTGGCACACACTGGACGTCCGCAGGGCACTGCGGCGTTACATCAAGCGCACAGCGCCTTTTCACCGGTCTGAAGCCCACTTTGTTTCCTTCTGCCCAGCTTCTCTGGCGCAGAAAGTGTCTGTTTCCACCATAGGCAGGTGGCTCAGGGCTTGTATCACGGAGGCGTACCAGTCTTCTTCCCTGCCAGCTCCAAGTCATATCACAGCCCACTCCACTCGCAGCACTGCGACCTCTGCGGCATGGGCCACTCAGGCGTCCATCGAGGAGATTTGCAGGGCTGCGACATGGTCTTCGCCCTTCCCGTTTGTACACCATTAAAGGATTGACCGCTTCGCTTCCGCGGACGCCTCCTTTGGTCGGAGGGTCCTTTAGCAGGTGGTTTCCGAGGACTTAGAGCCGGCCTTGTCTGTTTCCCACCCATTGGGACAGTGAGGCTTTGGTATGTCCCATTGGTGGATTCTCCATCTCCTGTGCTGGAGAAGGGGCGTTGTCTTACCTGAACGCCTTTTCTCAGCATGGAGATGGAGAATCCACACCCGCCCTTAGGTCAGTTAGGCTGGAATTAGGGGTCTGAGAGCCACAACCTTGCCTTATTATCAGACACTTTCGCCCTCGTCAAGACTGGGTTCCCCTAGCAACAGGGGGCGTGTCAAGTTTGGCTAACTTGGTCTCAAGAGCAGGCAGACAGAGAAAACCATTGGTGGATTCTCCATCTCCGTGATGAGAAAAGGCGTTCAGGTAAGACAACGCCCCTTTCCAAGGAATTATTATTTGAGTGGTTCTTAAAATCTCTACTGCAGGCCTGTACAATTTGATGAAGGGAAAGGGCCACATTAATAAATTATAAATCTGTACATCAATCAGCTGTTCTTTGGCTAATGGAGCAAAAGTGCTAAAACTAGGAATTGTAACTCTAAATTTGCTACTTTTTATAAAAAAAAATCAGTGGACTCCTACTACTGCTTAATGGGTTGCATGGTGGGCAAGCCATGCAGGTGGCCTTTTTGACATTCTAGATATACCAAAGTACTTAAGTACTTAAAGTTAAGTGCATGACTTGCTTCATTAATGAAGGAAAATAAATGCTCTGCTTTCCTTATTACAGGCAAACACATAGTAAATAAATAAGCAAGATTAAATAACAGCTGAAAAATAATTTGAGTGTTAGGAAATATGGTTTGAATTATCACATTATGTGCTTATTTATACACTGCTTTTTTGTAACTAGAGTGGAAGTATATGTTATCAATATATTTGCTATCATTTTTGCTAATAGTGTGTTCTATAACTACTTAAGGTAATATATACTCTAAAATGTTTTCCTTATATTTTAATGGAGAATCCATTATAAAGTTATCTAAAATTAAATCTGTGTTTTTGGTAATGTTCAAGTTATGTTGAACTCAGGACTAATGTTTTATTATTTTTTAGTGATTTAAATTGAATCAATAAATTAATAAAGTTTTGTTCGGGAGCTAAAGGAAATTAAGGATGTATAAAACCTCTCTATACAATGATGCTGTGTATATGGAAATGGACTGTTAAAACCCACATTTATATATCTATTTTTATAAATTTTTATCCTATTTATTTACAGGACCTGAGGCACTTTTTAAAAAAAAAACAACCCCCCCCCCCCAAATAGACATAATTCTTCATGCTTTCAAAATAGGCCTGAATACTTTTGGCTTCATTGCTGCTGAAATATGGTGAACAGCCAGCTTTTACTTTGCATGTACACCTCAAAAATACGTAACTGCTGCATTGCATATGCAATTTTTCTTTGGAAGAGAACAGTCTTTGTCCTTATTCAACTATTGAAGCAATCAGCACATTTTCCTGCTTCATGGTGGCAATGAGCACGTGAACTCTAACAGTCTTGTCATTGTTTGATTTTAATAGTTTAGAAAATTCATTCCATAAATAATCAGTTGCACAACACAGATAGAGTCAGTAATGTAAAAAATAAAGACCAACAATGTTCATTTTATCTTAGACTGAAAATCTGTTAATAAACTGTTTTTTTTATAGAAAATATCTATAAAAGTATGTCTTGATTATTGATTCAGTACTGATATATTACTGGCAGTGCCTGTCAAAATAATAAGGATTTCTAATTTTTGAGCAGTTCTTGGGTACTTTTGATTGCCCTTGGTGGAGCTGCCCTGGTCAAATGTCATGCACACAAAAATAAAGTGGCCAAAAATGCGCAATTATCCAGGTTAAAAGGACATAAGTCAGTATTCAAGACATGTATTTCTAGTTGCATTTAAACAAGCTCTACAATTTGTAAAATGTTTTTCTCAGTTGGCCTTTAATCGCTTTATTTTAGATTTAAGCTCTTTAATGAAATATTTTAAATATTGAATGTAAATTAATCAGCCCCAAGCAGGACTATACACTTTGTACATAAAAGAGTTAAGGTAAGAATTCATTTAAGCTTTTATTATACAGTAGCTTTTATCTATCTTTGAACTGAATAATAAGTAATACTAAAACAATGCTGGCTACAACCTATTAAGTCCATCATGGCACAGGGTTAGATTATTTGTGCGAACACCTGTCTGATTATTTGTGCTTGTCTCAGAATATTCAGCATGCTCCCTCTATTAATAGTGCCATTTTATGGAAGCCAGGAGCTGGGCCTTCTTTGTTGCAATGCCTTCTCCACAGAACACCACAGTCTCTGAGATTTATATGGCCCTAGTCCTATGGCCTTTTGCAATATCTTGGAAATTTGCCTGAAGGATTGAGCCAGGAGTTTGGCCATTTTGTAATAGTCTAGAAAATGATTATGGTCTCATGTATTATTTTTATTTTTGTGTTTTAAGTCAATGTTGGCAGTCCAGTGTTATAATTTTTGAGTTAGGTGGCTATATACATTAATAAATAAATACTGCCGTTATTAAACACTTGAGAAACCATATCTGATCATAGCTATATACCAGGGGTGTCAAACTCAATTTCACTGAGGGCCGCATCAGCATTGCGGTTGTCCGGGGGGGGGGGGCGAGTGGATGTGGCCTACTGGGTGGGCGTGGCCAGTTCTACATCATTCGCATCAAGGGTACCTATGGGGGCCTGGTCGGGTGGGACAGATCTGAGGGTCTCTGGCAGAAGGGGGTGGGACCGGGGCAAGTGCCAAGATGTCCACCACAAAATTGTACATTGGCTCCCAGCCGGCCTGGGCCAGGGCCAAGGCAGCAGTGGCTGTTCCCTCACTGTTTCCAGGATGGCTTCGCAGGCCACATGAAACCACTTCGCGGGCCGCATCCGGCCCCCAGGCCTTGTGTTTGACATGTCTGCTATATACTAAAACAATCTAGTTGTTAAACAGCCAGCAATTATCCATTATTGTTGGTGATACAAATTAAATATAACATCTGTTCAGTTGGAGGTTGTATCTGTGTCTTGCTCCAAATTACAAACATCTGCCTTCCATATGTGATGTCCTAGTAAACAAATATGATATATCTCTCAAAGCTAAATTGTGTTCTATTACTCATGTATTGGTCAATCATTTAAAAAACTAGTAGCAACAAAGCAAATAAGATAAATACGCATTATACTGCAAATGAGGCAGCCCCCTTCCAGTATTGCTGCACTCCTGTGACTATTGGTTTTTCATGCTGGACTACATAGTCCAGCTAACCAGGCCTACCAAGGCTTCTCAGTGCTAATAAGATATGTGTGCTAAACTTACTTACACAAATTATGCCAAAGCAAAAACATAATTTGTAAACAGAAACAATCATATACTTTTATAGGTAGATTTGCAGAATTTAATTTTAACTGTTAACATACCAGGAGGAATTTAGAAGTTAAAAATGATCAAAACTTTTGAGTGTATTTTTGTCTTGCACATCCATATTTTTTCCCCTGGCCTTTTGGAATTGTTATATTAGCACAGTACTGCATACTCATTGTACAATTGATAAAACATACTTTAGGCTAAATTAGAATATAGTTTGGAATGTTCTTTCTTATTTTATTCATCTCTCAGTTGCAATTACCTCTTCTAAGAGAGTTAACAAAGATACAGATATTTTACCAAAATGGAAAGAAAAATAAAACAAAATATTCAAGGAAATCACAATCATTTGCAACCAGTTCACCACACCACACCCACACCCAAGCCTATTCAAATGCATTATTATTTTCTCTTTAGGTCAAATCGTCCACTTTTCAATTCAGATTAATCAGAAGACAAGCTATGATATAATCTTTGGAGCAGCTTTTAGGGACCTGAAATAGAAATATCTAGTTTTGCAAAGTTTGCTTTTTATTTTTTATATAGTGTTCGTAGTCTCCAGAACTCTCTGCTTTGTTTTGCATGTATTGGGAAGATGGGAAATACATTGATGTAATCTAATGCTTGAATAATGATTTCTTCTAGGCCCAATCAGCAGCGTCCTGGTGAACAAATATGGCAGCCGTCCAGTCATGATGGCCGGGGGCTGCCTGTCAGGCTGTGGTCTGGTTGCTGCCTCTTTCTGTAATACTGTGGAAGAGTTGTACTTCTGTGTTGGTGTTGTGGGCGGTAAGTGACATATCTACACAAATGTAGATATATGTAATTGTATAACTTTTAGAGAGAAGTTATAAATGTAGGTAAGTTTTTTAAGGAGCAGGAATGCAATTCTCTATTGGAAAATACTAATCTATAAAGTTGTTGAATAAAGGCCCATAGTTCATTTCCAGGATGATTAATCTTATGAGCTGGTGAGTTAGAATTTCCATGGCTACTTTTTTTCAGAGAAGGATATTAATCATTATTCCTCATTTGAATGTTAGTCAAAAGCGAATTCACAGTCTCTCCCATCCCATTCAGCCAAGTAGCTTGGGAAGCAATCAAATATAGGGATATTTCAGGTTTTTTTTTATTTGCCCATGCAGTTTTTGAATACAAACAAGTGATGCCATTTCTCTGTGATGTCTTCTCCATCTTTGGCAGCTTTCTCAAAACAACCTGCCTGGAGGAATTTGTTATTTCTCTGGTATCTTATTTGCCCAAACTTGTTTGGTTGCTTATTCGTGTAGAAGTAGTCCTTGATTTAGCAACCCAGTGGGCCCCAGAATTTCAGTGATAAATTGAAGCACCTGGTGACTGAACTCAATTTTATGATAGTTTTTATGATGGTTATAAAGTGAAGCACTGCAATCATTAAGCAGATGACATCATTAAACAAATCCATTCTCCTGAGTCTATCATAATGACCTGTTGTAAGTCAAGGACTACCTGTATTGATTTATTTCCTGTTGTTCAAAACTTTGTGGCTTTGAATTGGTTTTCATAAATGCTTTTTCAAAAAAGATTTGCATACTTAATATATTTAATGTTGCTCATTTTTAAAACATGAAATATATCTGCAGAATTCGGTAAGTAGGCAATAAAATATTACCATTCTGTAGGGAAGGGGTTCAGTGTCTCTAGAAGTAAATTCCCCAGCTGGGAAAAGTTTGAAGTGTTCCAGAGCCAGTATTCCACTATGTGTTGTTTTCCTGCCAAGGACATTTACATATATGCAGAAACCACCAAACCACTCTGGAAACAGCATAGTCCAGTAGAAGTTCAACACAGTTGAGTGTAGGAACATTTCATTCCAGTTTTGGTATAAGAATTTTTCAGATATCAATAAACTATCCCTGACTATTTAGTTTTTGTGTTTTGCATTCTATATCCCAAAGTCTTTTGAATGTATTATGGGAGTTGCATTACTTTCTATCACTTAATAGCTTAATGCAATGGATATAGTGTGCATGCCATAGTATCAATAAGAACATAAACTGATTCTAGAACACCGGAATTGTAAGAGCTGCATTCGTATGTGTTAATAATTTAATATAATTGTTTTTGTATCCCCAGGTCTGGGCCTTGCATTTAATTTAAACCCAGCTTTGACCATGATTGGCAAGTATTTCTTTAAGAAGCGTCCTTTAGCTAATGGATTAGCCATGGCTGGTAGCCCTGTATTCCTGTGTACACTGGCTCCTATGAACCAATATTTTTACAGTATTTTTGGATGGAGAGGGAGCTTTTTAATTCTTGGAGGCCTTTTGTTGAACTGCTGTGTGGCTGGGTCATTGATGAGACCAATAGGACCTAAGCCTGACCAACTGAAAAAAGAAATTAATAAGGAAGCATTGCAGGAAGTTGGCAAAGTGACAAAAGAAGCAGCAGATGTTAATACAGATCTAATTGCTGGCAAAAATAAAAAGCAAAAGTCTAGAGCCTTCCAAACAATTAACAAGTTTTTGGATTTTTCACTCTTCGCACATCGTGGCTTCTTGATTTACCTGTTCGGCAATGTGTTTATGTTTTTCGGACTATTTACACCATTAGTGTTTCTCAGCAACTATGGGAAGAGCAAGAATTTCTCTAACGAATCTTCAGCTTTCCTATTATCTATTTTGGCTTTTGTAGACATGTTTGCCAGACCATCCATGGGTTTGTTAGCAAACACTAAGTGGATTAGACCTAGAATCCAATATTTTTTTGCTGTGGCTGTTGTCTACAATGGAGTATGCCATCTTTTGGCTCCTTTATCTACTACTTATATTGGCTTTTGTATCTATACTGGATTTTTTGGATTTGCTTTTGGCTGGCTGAGCTCTGTCTTGTTTGAAACACTGATGGACTTAGTTGGGGCTCAGCGATTCTCCAGTGCTGTTGGCTTGGTGACTATCGTGGAATGTGGCCCAGTCCTTTTGGGACCACCTGTTTTAGGTAAAATATGTATTTCATCTTTGGGATGGGGAGGAAAGAGACTGTATTGGCATTTTGATGACCTGTGAATCTGACCTGAGATAGGTAGGAGAAAAATAATTTATGCTGCTGTAGACAGAATTATTAGGATTTAGCTTATAATCATGTCTTATACTAGGATTTCTTAAACTGTGGGTCATGAGCCTCTGGATGTGATCATAGCTGCAGCCATCTAATATATTTTATCCTTTTCCAGCTCTTGTCCAGGGATTGCCCCTTTTATCTGCATAGATGATACTGAGTTATAGCAGTAGCTGCTGCTGTGTCACCTTTTCTCTTCAACTGAACTAAAAATAACTTTGCCAAAATTGCCCTTTAAGTATATAATATAGGCAAGGAGACTGAGCTTGTCTTGGCCCCGTGTACACATTTGCCCACCTACAGAACCACAACCATCATTGCTTTGATGGGCACATTCTGATCAACATTGTAGGATTTGGTAGGCTCAGTGATAAAAAATCTAAGAGAAAGAGGTTATTTCTAAAAAGAAATAAGTCAGCATGAAGGCTAGAACAAACTTTGATTTTTATAGTCATTTCTTTGCAAGTCATTTCTGAAGAGAAGGATAATTAATTAAAACATTAACTGTTCTTTGCATTCCCTCCAATATTGCACTGGTTACAATATATATATCTGTGTCTCTAAAAATATGTTTGCCCATTGTTGGAATGTTCCTACCCTAATACATTAGTGTCCCTTACGGACAGCTATTATTTTCTTCCCCTACCTCTGAAGAGTTGGCATTTTGGCCTTGCTTTTTGGGGAAGTGTGAATTCTGTAAGTGTCACATGCATAGAGTTTCTGGGAAGAAAGACATTGCCAGGGACTGGTTGCAGTTGAACTTGGTAACTATAGATTGACATAGCATGAAAGGGGGACATAGAATTTCCTGGCAATTCTGTTTTGAGAAGGACCGTTCTTAAATTTACTAAAATGATGCTAGGTGGCAATTTCCAGTAGCATCTAGTATACTGGTAAGTTTTCTTCATGAGGATAGGGTGAATACTGTGAATTCAGCACAGTTTTTGAGAATGTTATATGGATATCTAGAAACAGTTTGGTAATGAGAGAAAACTCTTTAGCACTCAAGTTAATACTTGCATTGGTGACCATTAGTTATTCATCATTATTACAAAATAGCCTTATAACATTTCCCCTCCACCCCCCACCCCCACTTTTGCCTTCTAGGTAAACTCAATGATGTATATGGTGACTACAAATACACTTACTGGGCATGTGGCGTCATCCTTATTTTCTCTGGGATCTTCCTATTTATTGGGATGGGCATCAATTACCGGCTAGTGGCAAAAGAGCAGGAGGCAATGGATAAGCAGACTGCTGAAGGAAAAGAAGAAGAAACCAATATTGATGAAGCTGAAAAACAAAAGGAGTCCAACAAAGCGGTTAATCTACCTCCAAAAACCACAGGAGACAGTCGTGTGTGAGAGACTCATAAATCCAGGTTTTGTAATAATTAAAAAATACTGACATGTTTGAAGGAACTGCTGGTCTTAATAAACAGTGGTGAAAATCAGGCTTTTTTTTAAAATACAAAACCTGATACTGCAGATAGTATTTTTATCAACACCTGACGAGTAACAGGTCAGTGGGCAGTGCTAGCATTTTAGTAGGGTTTTTGTGGGGGTGGAGTGGGAATGTGTACTTTGCTTCTCTCTTTTATCAGCAATGTGAATGTACTAAAATGTGCCTTAGAGCTTCCATGTCTAGGCTATTTTAGCAAAGCCTTAACACTGTTCTGTAAATTGTTCTTTCTTTCTTTCTTTCTTTCTTTCTTTCTTTCTTTCTTTCTTTCTTTCTTTCTTTCTTTCTTTCTTTCTTTCTTTCTTTCTTTCTTTCTTTCTTTCTTTTTGTCTACCTAGGCAATATTCATAAAAGATACCTGAGTTGCTTTATTAGTAGGGATCAAAGTTGGGTATTAAGCAAAAAACATTTCCTATGGTCCTTACTGCCAGTGTCATGGTAGGTGTACAAATATCCTGGACAAACAAACAACGAAAAGACTAGTGGATCCTTTTAAAAAAAAATAGTATGACAAACCTAATTTTTCTGGATACCAGATTCAAGCTAACTTGATTGTGTTTCTGATAACTTCTAAAAACTTACCCAACTTCTTGTTGGGCTTCTTTGAATAAAATATGTGAACATTTTCATACTGTCTTCATTTGACTTTCTCTGGAGAGGAAATTGCTTTTTAATTACCATTACTTTTTGGTTTGTTACATGCTTTGAAAGAGTACCATTATCCTGAATTGAAACTGAGATCGGTGTAAGAGAATATTGCATGCAATTATTGAACAAAGCTAAAGATACAATATTTTCATTAACAGTTATTCGAAACTTCATTCTTTAATATTCCTATAACGGTTTATATGAATGAATCTTCATTCGGAGTAACTTTAGTTATAACGAATGTAAATGCATTACTACTTAAACGTGATAATAGTTCCTATAGCTATGACTATAGAAAGTCAAAAGTTAATACGATGAAGGTTTCCCTATATAAAAACAAAAGACAATACCGAAAAAAAAAAAAAATACTTCTTGTTTGGGGCGGGGGCATATTTCTCCTTATTTTGTATAGTGTAAGTACCCAGAGAATATTGTCTTAACACACAGGTTTAGTGCCAGAACAGACAACCTTTTATTAATCTGTGGTCAGGGTAGATACAATAATTCAGTTTTTCATGCTTTTCATGTTGACTTATTCTGAGTGGATTACATTTTAATATGATAAATATAGCACTCAACTGGGGGGGGGGTTAAAAAAACTTTATACAAAGTAGAAACCTGTGTGTTCTGTGTATTGAAAAATATCACACTTCAAGGACAGGTGGAAAATAGTTTTCTGGTCATAAGCCAGGCCTACAGAAAATCAGTCAAAGTTTAGATTATGTTAACTATGTTTACTAGTCACATTTAATAGGTGGATTATGTAAATTATGTTTACATAATTCATCCATTAAATGTAACTAATACTTTTCCTATTTTAGTTATTCGTATAGTATTTCAAAATGTATGGGAATAAATCTGGGACACCTTGGGAGATGATTTGTCATGTAAAATATTCTACAATGTCATAATTAATTAATTTCTTGAAAGCTAGAAAAAATATTGACAGAAGTATTCCTTTCTCTTACAAATTGATGCTTGCTCTGGTAAATGTGTTTGATGTCACTACTGAATGAAAAATAATACACTGCTAGAATCCTATTTTTAATAAGGCAACATAATGAACATTTCAGTAACCTAATGGGGAATATATGACAAAGTTTTCATTTCTGATATATATATCATGGTATGATGTGCTCTTTATTGTCCTACCATACTGAATGTCATTTGCTACTGCTTAGACCACGGGTCAGCAACCTGCGGCTCCAGAGCCGCATGTGGCTCTTTGAGCCTTCTCCTGGGGCTCCCAGCCTCCTCTGCCATTTGCAGAGAGACAGAGACAGAGACAGAGAGAGGCACTTGCGCTTCCCTTCTCCCCCTCTCTTTGTGTGTGTGTGTGTGTGTGTGTAAAAAAGAGTGGCCTCATGCTGTTCTCGGACAAGCTGACAAGCTTATTGGGCAGAAAGCAGAAGCGCTCTCTCTCTCTCTCTCTCTCTCTCTCTCTCTCTCTCTCTCTCTCTCTCTCTCTCTCTCTCTCACACACACACACACACACACACACACACACACACACACACACACACACACTCTGAGTGGGGGAAGAAGACTGGCAGACCAAGGACAGGAGAGAGCCAGCCCAATAAGAATGTGTGTCAGCTTGTACCTGAACAGCGTGAAGCCAGCTTGCCAGGTGAGCAGAAGATCGGAGAGAGGGAGGGGGGGAGNTAAGCTTTGAAGTAAGAAATTATAAGGATATTGCCAAATATACTTACTTAGAAGTAAGCCTCATTGAAATCAATATTGCTTACATTTACGTAATGATGAATTTGCACTATTATCAAGGATATCGATACTGATATCTTTCAGTTTTCAATTATGCTACTTCCAAAGGGATATATTTTTGTTTTCTGTTATGGCTTTTTTTTAAAAAATACTTCTTGTTTGGGGCGGGGGCATATTTCTCCTTATTTTGTATAGTGTAAGTACCCAGAGAATATTGTCTTAACACACAGGTTTAGTGCCAGAACAGACAACCTTTTATTAATCTGTGGTCAGGGTAGATACAATAATTCAGTTTTTCATGCTTTTCATGTTGACTTATTCTGAGTGGATTACATTTTAATATGATAAATATAGCGCTCAACTGGGGGGGGGGTTAAAAAAACTTTATACAAAGTAGAAACCTGTGTGTTCTGTGTATTGAAAAATATCACACTTCAAGGACAGGTGGAAAATAGTTTTCTGGTCATAAGCCAGGCCTACAGAAAATCAGTCAAAGTTTAGATTATGTTAACTATGTTTACTAGTCACATTTAATAGGTGGATTATGTAAATTATGTTTACATAATTCATCCATTAAATGTAACTAATACTTTTCCTATTTTAGTTATTCGTATAGTATTTCAAAATGTATGGGAATAAATCTGGGACACCTTGGGAGATGATTTGTCATGTAAAATATTCTACAATGTCATAATTAATTAATTTCTTGAAAGCTAGAAAAAATATTGACAGAAGTATTCTTTTCTCTTACAAATTGATGCTTGCTCTGGTAAATGTGTTTGATGTCACTACTGAATGAAAAATAATACACTGCTAGAATCCTATTTTTAATAAGGCAACATAATGAACATTTCAGTAACCTAATGGGGAATATATGACAAAGTTTTCATTTCTGATATATATATCATGGTATGATGTGCTCTTTATTGTCCTACCGTACTGAATGTCATTTGCTACTGCTTAGACCACGGGTCAGCAACCTGCGGCTCCGGAGCCGCATGTGGCTCTTTGAGCCTTCTCCTGGGGCTCCCAGCCTCCTCTGCCATTTGCAGAGAGACAGAGACAGAGACAGAGAGAGGCACTTGCGCTTCCCTTCTCCCCCTCTCTTTGTGTGTGTGTGTGTGTGTGTGTGTGTGTGTGTGTAAAAAAGAGTGGCCTCATGCTGTTCTCGGACAAGCTGACAAGCTTATTGGGCAGAAAGCAGAAGCGCTCTCTCTCTCTCTCTCTCTCTCTCTCACACACACACACACACACACACACGCACACGCACATACACACATACATACACACACACACACACTCTGAGTGGGGGAAGAAGACTGGCAGACTAAGGACAGGAGAGAGCCAGCCCAATAAGAATGTGTGTCAGCTTGTACCTGAACAGCGTGAAGCCAGCTTGCCAGGTGAGCAAAAGATCGGAGAGAGGGAGGGGGGGGAGAGAGGGAGGGAGATAAAGAGAGGGAGGGAGAGAGAGAACTCATGCACAGCAGCCTCTATTTCTTTTTAATTAAACTCTGCAATCAAGCTCCCCCCCTCGCGTGCGCAAGTTTTGTGGCTCCCAGTGTTTTTCTTTTCTCTGGGAAAGGGGTCCAAGTGGCTCTTTTGAGTGTTTAAGGTTGCTAACCCCTGGTTTAGACAGTGGATAAAAACTAGCAAAATCTGTGTTCCATAGTTCTAAACATGACAAGAAAAATAGATATTAGACTGCCAGGACAAGGCAGTGCATAGAAATACTAGTAATGAATAATGTCACTAACATGTTGTATGCTTATTCCATTTAAGATACAATCTGCATGATTTGTAGCATATTTTTTTAAAATTTTGAATATAGTCCAATATAAATCAAACTGCAATTAGTGTAATTTTATTATTCCTTAAGATGTTTTAGTACAAAGAGACAAATAGGTTATCATAAAATTGTGTCTGGCTTCTCAATTGGAGGTTGTTCTTCAACAAAAGCTTTTAAAGTGAATACAGGTTCTCTTCAATTTTTCAGGTATTGGCTTTGGATGACATTGGCACAACAAATTCTTGTAAATTTGATTTAGCAATATTTCAAGAATGTAGAAATTCCAGGTTATGGACTATATTGCTCCGGTTAAATGTATATTCATGTTGATAAGCAAACTTACACATTTCCAGTTCTCTTTGCAAAATATGTGGCCAGTGATGTTCCTTTAAGGGTCCCCAATTGTAGTACAAGCATTTTATCACATTCCCACATGTTCTTTTAGTAGAACAAGAAAAACATTTGTATGATGTAAAAGTAGTACCTGTGAGATCTAGAAATATCTTAGCATGTAAGATGATAGGTGACTGAGTTGCTAAAGTCTATTGAAGCTAGTAGACTGTAAAAACAAAAAAAAAGCGCACAAGGCATATGCAGGATAATTCTTGGTAGTTCTGGAAATAACGACTAAGACGATCTTTCTAAGAATTTTTCACTCCCCATGTAGACCAGGGGTGTCAAACTCAATTTCATTGAGGGCCGCATCAGCATTGTGGTTGCCCTCGGGGGGGCGGGTGTGTGTGGCCAGGGTGGGTGCTGCCTACTGGGTCGGTGTGGATGGAGTGGGTGTGGCCTACTGGGTGGGCATGGCCAGCTCTACATCATTCGCATCAAGGGTGCCTGTGGGGGCCTGGGCAGGAGTGGGACAGATCTGAGGGTCTCTGGCAGAAGGTGGTGGGACCGGGGCAAGTGCCGAGGCATGGTCCATTTCTTCATTCCTCACAAAGGGTGACACCTCCCCAGCATGTACCCAGGGGGCGGGGCCGACACAGCAGGGGCTAGTTCCTCGCTGTTTCTAGACGGCCTTGTGGAGCTAAGACTGAATGCGTTTCAGCATAGATGGCCACCACAAAATTGTACATTGGCTTCCGGCCAGCCTGGGCAGGGCCATGGCAGCGGGGGCCGTTCCCTCACTGTTTCCATGATGGCTTCGCGGGCCACATCCAGCCCCCGGGCCTTGTGTTTGACATGTCTGATGTAGACCTACCTGTCTTTAAGTATTAATCATAATATGATACTCTACTCCCTCTCCACTAATTGAAATTAGTAGATTGAAATATTATTTAATAACTTTTATCCCTAATGTTTCTTAATGTGTGATGCACAATTATTTTGTATAAACCGAATTAATTTTGTATAAACCATGAAAATTTGCTTTGTTAAGCCTCCAATTTGCTGAAATTCAAGTCTGTTCATGCAAGTCTGCATGTAATTAACTGGTACCTGGTCCAAACGTAAAAGTTTATGTAA